TATGTGTGACGACAGATAGAAGCTACAGGACACGCAAAGAGCGGAACCCCTACCACGTTGTGGAATGGGCTCCTACGAAACACATAGGACCGTTAAGGCCATTGCAACCGAGGCACATTATCGCATTAGAATTATGTTGTCGACGACAAATAATACCCTCAACTCGCGTGAGGTAAGGCGCTGAAACGAGGCTTAGAAGTGCGTTTCAAACATGTGATACTTCCAAATGATTTACCTTAGTTTGTAGATAAAAGAAATAAATATCCTTTTGTGGATACAGGATGGGGCATCGGGTGGTGCTGCAGACGAGAGTGGTAGTTAACCAGCTTCCGCAAGTAGTCGAAAGGAGCTCATTGCGCCCTATTACACAACGAGCGCGAGATGCCCGCCGTCTACGAAGATAACTAACAGCCATTACAAGATAAACCACTATCAATAAAAACATTGTTGGTAATCCAATCGAAGAAGGTCTTAATTTGTAGACTGTAGTCAACAGAATCCACATTGGAGCACGTGGGCTGACAGGAAGGGTGTCATGCGCGGTGGAGGCTTGCTAGAAACGCTCGGCTTCGGAAGCCTCATCTTTCTTCGATGGTTTCTTGATTATGAAGGGTTGGTTAATTCCGGCACTTCCAAAAAACTTATTTCCGGCACATTTTCCGTGCCCGTCATATTTCGGGTCAGAGCATATTTCGGGTCACCTGCTCCACCTACAAAATTTAAGTCAAAAACGAAAAACAAGTAAGCTCTGCGATGTTCGCTGCCTGCACGAATATTGTCCTATCAGGCGGCGGAGCGGTAGGAACGGATAACCGAGACCCCCCCCCCCCCTCTTTCAAACGAGCCATCGCGCAAACCTCCCCAGCCCACAGAACGTTCACTATTTTCTATTTTACCCCAAAGGTGAGCCATGAGAACGTCCCTCTCGATACATGGATATCAGCGATGACAGCCGTAGAGGCGGTATGAGCATTCGTGTTGCGTCTAAAGTCTATTAAGCGTCCCGAGAGCCCCTTCGAATGCGTATTCTTGGACTCGTTCCTATTCAGGCTCGTACAGGCCCACAGCTCCAGTACATCTCAGACGGCGAAGACAGAGGGCTTGGTGAGAAAATCGAGTACCGAGCACTGCATGGTATGTGCGTCGGATATGATGAGTTGCGCTGCATGATCCGTGAAGCCGCCGTGATAACTGGAACCCGCTCCCTTCCAGACGATTTCCCCAATGACACCTACGTAACACGCTGGTTAGCACGACACCCGCAGCTTTCTACTCGGCGATCACAGTTATTGGATGTAAAGCGAGCAGAGGCTTCAACTCCAGATAATGTATTGCACTATTTCAACAACCTCAAGGCTGTCCTTCTGAAGTTTAACCTGACCGACAAACCCGAGCGCATCTGGAATTGCGACGAGACCGGTATGCCCTCAAGGGCATGGCGGAGAACAAATTATTTGCCCAAAACGATTAAGGGCGAATATCCAGCGATCCAGTGACCGCGAGAACATTAGCGTAATGGCCTGTGTTAGTGCATCTGGTGAACGCATGCCGCCTATGTACATTTTCTCGGGGAAATACAGGAAAGTGGAGAAGGCGGAGAAGACGGCTGTGTGTGCCATGAGGGACAGTTCGAACATCAGTGGAAAATTGTTTCTTCATTGGTTCAAATGGTTCGAAAGTCTCTTGCCGCCAGAACGACCACAATTATTGCTCCTTGACGGACATTTTGCTCACATCAATTTGGAAGCCGATAAATACGGCACAGATCGAGATGTTCACCTCTTCGTCCTGCCTGCACACATCGCATTTCCTACAGCCATTTGATGTGGCTGTATTTGGTCCTTTCAAACGTTATTTCGAGAAGGGTTCGAAAACATTTCCTGTGCTGAATAACAATCGATTTCCTATTAAAGACGATATCGCTGACATTGCTTGCGACCCGCTTATCCAAGCATGCTGTCCTGACAATGCCAACGCGGCATTTGAAGAAGCGGGTATTGTTCCGCTATCGCTTGATGGCATGATGAAAGGAATTATTGGCAACAAACCTGTTGTGACACGTGATAAACTTATATATATGAGGCAAGCTGCACCACCAACACCATTGTTCGATGTTACGGATCGCCAGAAGCGCGTCATGAGAGAGTTAGACCTAAACGTGGATGCGCTCAACGTTGTAAATCTGTTGTCCAGAGCTGTTGTCGCCCCAGTCCAACAGAAGCGAAAGAGAGGACATGGGTCGATGAGAACTATTCTGGTGGTCAGTTGCTATTCTACGAGATGATGGTTGCCGCAGTTGAAGCAAAGGCCACAGCTAGTTTGAGAGATAAACAAGAAATCTGCATCACGCGAGAAAGGTGAACGAGACGAGATGAACTTGCACGACAAAGCAGAGCACCTCGCGGAGAAATCAAAACGGAAGCTGAAAAAAGAAGAGCGAGAATCGCACGTGTGATTAAAAAGTTGAAAGCCAAGGATGAACGAGCTACTGCCCAAGCAAAAAGAAGTTCAGCGCGCGTATCGAAGAAGAGAAAAAAAAA